TGCTTTAGTAAGTTTAGATTCCAAGGATCCTGGTAACCAAACTGACTAGGTAATGATCCAATGAAGGACAAAAGTGGGGAGTGAGAATCGTTCGCATGAAGAACTGATTATTGATGTTGAGCTTACCGATCCTTGTACTATAAACCTCAAAGGTGTGGTCACTCCTCACCGAAGTACACAAACATAAAGTGCAGAAAGATGAAATCCGAAAGTTAGGGTTGGAGGTGATCAGAGCTCCAACAAAACGTTTCTGTTCAGAACTATTAAAGCTAAAATGATGTGGTGATTCCCCAAATCATACTAGAAACCACCCTACGAAACTTCTCTCTTTTGGTCAAAACCAAATCTAGGCAAACCTTAGGTGTGATAGCACTCACTCTGAGGTTCAGGTCAATGCATTTTGCTGAATGCGGTTTACAGCGCAACCGAGTGACTCAAAGTCAACCTCCACCGAACAGTCACCCTACCGTTGTGTATACCCACCCGCATTGATGAATATACACATCTAATCTCGAGTCCTTATCCATTGCCAATCCTGCTAATAGGTTCGACAAAGCCCAAATAACTCGCCTTCATAGGGATCCGCTCGTGAAAACTAGGGACTTCTGGTTACAACAATCGGATTGTGGTTCCCCCGAAACGAGTGAGAAATAAGATAAAACGCCGCCAGATTTTAAATCACATTGATTTGAGGTAATAGCGAGCTGCGGGTACCTTTTGGAAATTTTCAGAAGGCAAAAAGGGGCATTCCTATGCAGTATTTGAACTTCCATGGGAAAGATTGCACCAGAGTGGTTTGTCTTGCCTAGGCAAATAGAAGAATGCGAAAGAGATTCGAGAGGACAAAAAGGGAGAAGTATGTACACAGTATGTACAGCGAGATTCAAACCACCCTTCTTATGAGATGACACCGGTGCTGACAAAGGCGTTGCCAGCCGATGAGGCTGTAGATTCTTCAACAGAGTCACTTGAAGGAACCGCAGGAGCCAAACGCAATAAAGACTGGTGAATGACTTCCACGGTTGTGTAGACGGTCTGAAAGGTCTTCCTCCGACCTCCCAGCTCAGCACTAATTCCTGCTTTAGCACCAACACCGCATATACTACGCAGAGTATCTGCCGCAGTCTGCAATCGAGCACACTCATCCCTGAATCGAAATTTCGCGTGCGCTGAACAGTCCATCTCATCCGCATAGCGCAAGCAGGCTTGCTTGAGACCCTCAATTCTATCCACCAATGTACTATTGTGCTCATTCGGCAGATTCACCTTAGCCAGATTCAGATCAGCGCAGAGGTGTGTCACCTGTTGTAGAAGATGCTCGTAGGAGGAGCGACTTTCTGCCAGTGGCAGAGGCGTCACCGTAGAGGTGCTTCCGCATGTCACAGAATGCGACATAATGGCCGGAATATCTCCTCCCCGTTCAGCCCCAACCTCATCCTCTTCCTCCACCACTTCTGGGAATGTATCCGCGTTCGGTGATTGCTGCTGTTGCTGCTGCTGTTTGGGGGCAGGAGAGGAGGAACAGGAGTTGGAGGTAGGTGTCCAGCTCATCCTCTTGCTGGCAGGCGGCTCGACATTCTTGCGACGCCGTTGGACCACCAACTCCTTCCATGCGGGCACAGAGGATGAGACTTGGGCCTCCGGCACTGTGATAGATGTGGGCGCGGTAGTGTTGGTTGCCTTAAGTTTTGATTTCGAGGCCTGTATCATTTCCGCAGTGACGGTGGTAGCACAAGGTGGGGCAGGAGAGCGATTGGGATTATCAGTGGATCTCAAACTGTCCAGTTGGCGCTTCAGACGCGAGGAAAGCTCGTTATGAAAATCGAGACTAGTGGTACTGCTGCTGTTTATCGGCGCTTGACCATTAGGTGGCGAATGAGTGGTAGAAGGAAGTCCCATCTTGGGACTCCATTTTGCGGCTCCCTCGGGCACCTCCGAATTCTGGCTCCGTGTTGACTCTGAGCGCTGTGGTGGCATGGGAATTGTTGCACGACGATTTGTTGACAATGATGGTGAGGAGAAGGTCCCTTTACATTACAAGAGGGTCAGTAAATAAGTGCCTGTTTCCGATTCGATTACTCCATAAAGAACCACACAATATATTTGAATAGCTGCGTAACCTAATTTTAGGGCCCGATCAAAAGTTAACTTTAACGATAAACTTAATTAAACTTAATTTAATTGCATGGACTTTTAACAAAAAATAATGAAGTAGCGGGACATTCTCTCCCCCGCAGGCTTGTAAAAGGTTACTTTCCGCCTTGAATACAGAATAACTCCCTCGGGATTGACTCCGATGCTTACATGTGTCTGGCACAATTCCCACAGCAAGTGATACGACTGTATCTAAATCGAATGACGTTCTCCAGGTAAGACCTTCAGTGGTTGAATGAACTCTGGTTTAGTGCACTGAAAATACCATACTAAACTAAAGTGTGCAGGGTTTATGGATTACTATTGTCAATAATACCGAGGTTAATTTATTCATTACTAAACGGCCTCCACACCAATGTCGCCCAAATCGTTGGTTTCGCAGCTTCTTCCTCATGCCAAAATGGATGTTACTTACGGTGAAACCACCGCAGAT